AGTTATGACTGTGATCACCTCATTTATTAACAGTTATGACTGTGATCACCTCATTTATTAACAGTTATGACTGTGATCACCTCATTTATTAACAGTTATGACTGTGATCACCTCATTTATTAACAGTTATGACTGTGATCACCTCATTTATTAACAGTTATGACTGTGATCACCTCATTTATTAACAGTTTCAACAAATAAGTATAACATATATGTTTATGGTTATTTTCATGTAAATTTTACATACAAATGTTACAAAATTGCATAGTGAAAAACTATCTATTACTTCCTTTTTTCCGTACTTTTCCATTGATTGTTAATTTTTTCCTCTCTCTTCTTTGATTCCCTGTTTGAATGTTAACACTTTTATTGAATTTTTAACGATCTATAAGCGACCAATAAAAAATGCCGCTTTTTTTTAATGCATAAATCACAATGCATTGAAAAAGAGCCTGGTCAACTGCTTTTGACAATTAATAAGGACAGTTACAAGAATGTGCAATTGATTCTTACGGCCTACACTGAGTATATGGTTGCGGCAGTAGAATTCACAAATGCTATCCCTGATTTCTGGTAGTGCTTGGAGGATTCAACAAGCAAAATTGGTCTTTCCACTTACTTCTCTTATTTTATAAGTCTTAAATCTTGACGGAAAATTTGAACTGTCATCAAAACTTCTTAAATTATTTCTAGCCTACTGAAACATCATTATACTAATAAAGAAAATAAAAAACATTTCTCCAGTAATTCGATTACAGTGAAGCAAACATACATGGAATAACTTCCTATAAAATCTTTACTACTAATTAATTAGTAAGGTTCAAAATTCTGTAGTCGCTCCCACTATTCTTATTTTGATATTTACACCTGATTCATCGGTTCTTTATTTTATTATTTACAGATTGTGACTAGTCTAAACTGGGATGCATAAGTCTCAGATTCAAAGCAATTATTTTTCAAGCAATCGAGCGTTAACATCTGTAACTGTGACTCAAGAGAAGGTAAGTTTGTTGGTCAAACTTTTTTAATGAACATGTTGCTGGCTCAAATATCAATGTGATGGTGTGACCCTCAAGCCATCATTACGCACTTTTCAGAGCTACCAAAAAAAGCAGATTCTTCCAGTACGAACTGGACCTGTGAACAAGTTGCAGGCTAAGAAAAGATCAGTCGTGTATCATCAATATATCTCACATATATCAGGTGATCCTACAACTTCAATGTCGATCCTTCTAACAGTGGTAATCTCAAAATAGAATTTCTGAATCTGTGATTATATCAATATAAAGTGTCTGCTTTTATTTATTTTTCCCAATAAATTTTGCAGATCGTATTTCACATCCAGCAAATCGGGATGAAAAGGGATGCTTTCTGAAAGAAATGAATAATTTTTCTGTTTACAAAAACAATGATCATATAATATTGCCAAAGAGAAAACACAGATTGGAACCACGGGTGCGGTGCTTCTATTGTGGTGAATGGTTCAACAGAAATGAAAACATTTCTGGTTCTTGCAAGTAATAAATTTATTCATATTCGGTCAATGTCCAATATGACGTTCAACAGATGAAAAATTTTTCAGCAATAATTTTATTCAAGATTCTCACTTGAAAGTGGTAGATGAATGTGTTTGCAGAGAAGCTCCTGATCCAGTCGAGGTTACGATTCGCTTTCTGACATGCTATCCGGTAGCGGAAGGTGCTGTATATCATTGTTGTAAGAGTGATGACGACATGCCTGTTAATATTAGCCGTTTTGGACAAGGCTACGTTAGTTTCTGAAAAAAGGAAATGATTTTAATTTCCAGATAAAACAAACAATAATATCATTTTAATCTAGATAACATTTCCGCTTTGGCTTCGAAAGTTTCCTAAAAATTATTTTTAAATTTGAAAAAAAGTGTATTGTAAAAAATTTTCATTTTAAATACCATCCATTTAAATAAATATTACATTAGTCAACGATTAATTGAAATTAAAATATTACCCGATTGCTGAGATTGAATTATTTAATATCAACAGCAATTACAGAATGTGTTTTCGTTTGGACCACGCCATATACCGCTATTGAAACGTGTAAAACGATTGCTATTTTTGGCGCTTATGTCACTTGTAGCACCATGCCTATGTTGTTATTTCCCAGCTCATACGATAAACAAATGTTTCGGTGGTGGCAAACGAGGACGTCATCAGTCATATCATTCCACGACTACTTTTGATGGCTAACAGCTCTATACCATCTACATCAGGTCACAGTGTGACAGGAAACGTCATTTACAATGTTGCATAGTGTTAAATGCCAAAAAATAAATAAATATTATCATATGCTTAAACATAGAGAGAACGAATGCTTTATGTGATCATCGAAGAAACATTCAGAATTTTGACCTAACTTAGTGATGTAAAAATAAAATCCGTTGAAACTGGCTTTGAAATTTATGGTTTTGAAAAGAAACTCAAAAGAATTATAGCAAGAATGGAAGGGTATTAGTAACAATGAAGTCCTTTTGCAATCAATTCATTGAAAGCTTACCTGCAGATCTTCTGCAAATCATTAATCTAAAATACGAATTAATTGAAAACGCATAGTTTATTCAATTTATATCATTCAATAAAGGAAGATTCTAGCAAATTGAGACAAGTTTTAATCGTAAAAGTAAAGTATAATCCATCAGAATTTTGCTGACAATATCTTAAAAAAGGAAAAAAAAGGACCCTAAAGAGTTTATTCATGTTTACTACAAGCGTTGAATAATTTATAATCTATAAAAAGTGTGTAATCAGCGCTTTATAAGAATGATAACAGTGACATTTAAAGGCTGATTAAGTGGATGGGCAAGAGGGATTCGTTGAAGATAGGAAGAAGAGATGAAGCGTAGCAATGTTGGACAACACTCAAACCGTTTAACTTTGGAACGGCAACACGGTTTGAAACGTTGCCCATCAACGCACGGCCTTTTGTCGAAAGAGGGGAAATAGGTGTGCTTTGCATCAGGCAAAGTAGAATCATTGCTAGATTTAGCAAATGAGAAGAATACGAAGGCCAAAGGTTGTATTCATTTCTGTTTTAGCATTTTCTTGAATCTTATCATCCATTCTTGCAGTACATCAACTTCTGTGATTAGTTCCCAATCTCAAATAATGACTGTTTATTACAAAAGTAAGTTTTGCACAAACTGTAATGGCTAATTTCAAAATGAAATTAACTTAGTAACACAGTAGGAAAGAGTAAGTGAAATAGTATGAGTAGTGGAAAGAAAACGGAAGAAATTTAAATCTTTCTAATGTAGATCGATCAAATAATGGCGCACTTTTTTTCTTTCAAATCAAAATTATTCCTCCATGAGAAAGTTCATTTCCATGACGTAATGACATCGGTCCTCACGAATTTCATAGTCATCGTAAATGTAAGGAAGCAGGTGAAGATGGAGCACTGCTACACGGATGACGTTGTCATGACCTGGTGACAAATGATTCAGTGCTCTGTTATGAAAAGAACATGGGAAGAATGGCTCATCAAGAATGAACGTGTGTGATGGGATCGAAGGGGAGTGAAGTGCAGAAAGTTTATATACACAGGCAAGCAGATATGCACATGCACATGCACATGCACATAATCGTTTGCTCAGGCATTACGTTATGCTAATATTTTTGTTCGTTTTTAGCTACAAAGACCGTAAAATTTGTTTTAGATAGTGGTGACAGTGCGGTGATTTACTCCCAATATCGAGCATTTTTCTTATTGAAGCTGTAGACCTTAACATTGACACTGTAAAGTTCTATAATAATAGGCCATTTAGTCACTATCATAATTCCCTTCTATTTCTTACCTTTTGGATTGATTACTTACCCTGTTTCTTTACTGTCATAACGTTAAATTAGGAATGAAAGTGACCGATAATGTCCTAAATGATATGCAACAACATTGCAAGGACAAAATGATCCATTTTTAAAACAAGCAGTACAAAGTCGCATCTCCGATACATCTCATATAAAGCTCACCAATGTCACCAATGTAATATATGCCGAAATGATAGTCTCCCTCCTCCTTCTCTACCATTGCATTTACTGGAAATAATAATGATGACATAGGTAGGTAATGGTGAGCCACAACAGAAATATCGCTTTCCTCAATTTGTGGCCACTTTCTAGATCGAAAGGAGGAGAGCAGATGATAAAAATACATTACTTCAAATATATTACTTTTATCAAGCCTGGATAGATAATTTTAGAAATCCCAAAACAACGGTGGTGGCAATGAGTTTTCAATCCTTTTTATGATTTTATTAACTGTTAATAAAGTTAATGAAGAAAGAACTAATTCAATCCTGTTGGTGCTACATACTGTTTATTTATCTGCCCGTTGACTTATTAAATTGTTAATTTATAACAGAATTTGATCTCAGAAAATTTATTATGTGAAATTTTATTAATTATTTTAGTTGATTAAACCAAATTTTTAGTTTCGAAAATAGGCAAAAAAGCCAAAAAGAACTTCCAAAATCTTGAGGTTCTGATTTAAATTGGAATTCCTGATGAAGTGCGAAAAAGGTCAAAGGTGTGAAAAGGCGTAAAGTCTGATAAAATACCTATAACAATTAACAAATGCGTCACTACTAATGAAGATTTGGTTTTTAACAGACTGTAAAAACAGCACACACTCTTATCATTAAAGTGGCAATGCAATGAACATTCTTTTTCATCCTGAAATGATAAGAATAGACGGTCACAACTCTTCTCCCACCATCCAATTACTAATAGATTTTGAGATAAGAGGAAAATTAAGGAAGGTTGTTCCGAAATTTGAACGAATCAATACTTCATTAGTAAATACATATTTTCAAATAGGAAAACTCCATGTAAGAAGGGTCGGAATAGCATTACTTATCGTCGTTTGAGAGTGTCGAATCTAAAAAATTCATAAACTTTTTGCTTGTGTTTCTAGGAAACTGATATAAAGCGATGAAAAGAAGAAGAAGGAAGGGCTTGTACAATATTCCAATAGGAACATGTTCCATATGTATGGCTGAAAATTCATGTTTATTTTAAGAGAGCAAGTTTCACGAGCCATTTCAAATGAAACAGCTTCGTATCTTATCATGTTGTACACCTCCAGATATCACTGTGCTGGTAATCTTCAACGCTAAGATAATACTGTTTGTTCAAATTGCTACATGTACTTGTATCAAGCATTCAATTCAAAACAGATGCTCTCCCCTACTACCAACATTTATCATAATTAAAAATTTACTGAATCAGAACCAAACGGCGTACATATCCTAAGTACTTGCTGTTTGCTATCTTTGTTATTATAAAACAGTAAAATTATTTATTTTTTCTTACTATTTCAGTCATTATTACTGAATATTGTTACTGAACACATTGAAAGGTATTTATTTGAGAGGTTTTCGAGCAATTTTTGGAGACCTGCTGATTAAAATACTTCATCTGTGGAGTATAACTGAACTGTGTGCTATCGATGCTTATACATTTTCACCAAATCGTTCTGAAGAATACCGGATCAACACAAAGTGAAAAACTCACTTTTACTCATTAATCGGTCTGTAAACTGAAAGAATGAGCAATGTGATATAGACCAAATATCCGAAACAACTGACGTCCGAAACGATTGACGATGGTGTTGTGGTAAATGCATGAAAATTACCCATTTTACCAACCCAGGATTTTGTAATTCGAGAGGGTTTAAATTTCAGTCATTCGAATGATACTCGCAAACAATCATAGCAACCGAGCCGTTTCTATTTTCATAGTGACACATGTTGCTAAAGCGAAGGCTGTGATTCCAGGACCCAGAGAGAATTGAAGAGGCGGGGCGAGGGGAGTGGGAAGGAGCAGGGTGTTTACCTCCCTTGCGCAAGTGGTATTTGTTTTCTATTAGATTGCTAATAATTCATTGTTTCATTCTCACACATCATTATTTGATTATACTATTTGCTCTTTTAAATAAGTCTTGAGGGGAGGATGAGGGAGATAGGATAGGAGTGGGGTCTCCCGTTATCTTCTTCAATTCTGCGTTAAATATCCTGAGAATCGTGTATCCTTACAATTACCCGAACATGCCCATTCTTTTTTCTCTCTGCAGAGAGTTAGTTTTAGTTTGGAGCAGCTTATTCAGTATTATTGAAGGTTGGATATACTGACGGTATACTTTCAGCCTTTCAGCTTCAAAGGAAGAGATCCAGCCCTCTAAAACGTTAGTCGGCGTAATAGAGAAATGTCGTAAATTAATGGAATTTGTTGTATCCATTAATTGATTGCTTCATTTTTCTAAAAGAGCGGAAGTTTGCAGAGAGACTGTTATGGGTATTTTTAATAAGTGTTATGGTGATGAACTACTTTGTCAAGATCTTGTCTTCACTTTAAGACTATCAGGAATTACACCATTAAACTTCACCTCTGTTTTTCTTATTTCGATTTAGCTGATTAAACTACAGATTTTTGGCCTGTCATTCCTATTCTTTAGCGGCCTGACTGATTGCATTGCTTAAAATAGAATGACATTGCCAAAGTTTCAAAAGGATCATCTTTAGATGTTACCCCAGTAGAATTACGATCATGGGAACATTCATAAACAAAAAAGCGAAACATTATATAAAGTGTTCTTATGTATTGTTATTGCTTATATAATTTATAAGTACTCACTTCTTCGAAGAGTTGTAATTTCAGTAAAATTCTGAGACCCCAATTAAATGATTTTTTCTGAAGGATGAATACAACGAAATCGTTTTTTGCGAGAAAATGGAAACGTTATTCATTTTATGGTCTTGTTGGTTCTGCTGGTAAGAGTTCTACTGTTAATGCTTAATTTTTTTTTTTGTTAATAAGTTCATTCTTTTTCTTTCGTCCAGTGTTTTTTCTACCGGATTGGTTCTTCTGGTAAGATGTTGCTCTCTTTCTTTTGCCTTCTTTCAAATAAATTTTGCACAGTAAAGGTAAATACTTGATACTTTAGTTTGGCATTATATCTATTACACAATCGAGTTCAATGAAAATGTCAGGAAACCAGAGGAACGACGAGATATGGCATATGTTCATTGGTTAAAGAAACAGTTCCCTGCACTGAGGCAATATGGTATTCCATATAGGGAAAAATCAGTGGACAAAAAATGATTATTAGATGCTAAAATTTAGGGGCTGGTAAAGTTTCGGGAGAAAGTCAACAAATTGTATGAAAGCTGTACAGGTTTGTAAGTAATTAGGATTACTCACTGCATTTGTTGTGGTTTTTGTTGTGTAATGAAGTTACAAGATTTTAACTTATGCTTTATGTGAAGCGCAGTACTTATGAAATACGATGAAAAGAGTATGGTGGAAATATGGTTGGTTAACATGATGACAAAGTTCCGGTTGTTAAAAATTTCAGTAACCAGTGGAGCGAGTTAAATTTCTTAGAATTAGACAAATAACGGATGGAAAAACAGAACAGAGATGGTTTTATTTTTCTAATCAAATTTCTTTAAATCTGGAATTATTAAAAACGAATTCTAGGTTCTGATACCATGGAGCTGATCAGTAAGGAATTCTATTTTAAATGAGAACAAAGTGCTGCATATGCTCAGTCAGTTAGGGCCTTAGCCTTTTACAAAAGTAGCATCTTGTATTTGAATATAGGTGAGAATGCAACGTTACTTTTTGTGGTGTCAAGAAGATTAGCTTCGTAAATGAGTTTCTGGATTTATGACCTTTATGTTTCTAAGAACTGGATAAGCAGTTAAGAAGGTTTATTGGGCCTATTTATCACAGAAAAGCCAAAAAGTAAGTGCGTTATTTGTGCATTACGGGCATTAATTAAACGTATTTCTGATGTTCACTCCTCACCGAAATGCCGTGTAAAACTGGTTATCTCCTTCAAGTCTTAAGTATTCCATCTAGCATGTTATGCTTAAAGTGGATATAGAAATCAATTTGAGACTTGACTTTATTTTGAAAACCAAGTGTTTTTCAAAAGTTGGGTTTATATATTTTATGGGTAAAAATTTTCAAGTGCTGTACAATTCAAGAACAGGAAACAAGTAGATTTGAATGTTTTCACACTAGTAATTTGTGATGCGACTTTGCGGACTTCTGAATCTGTTGTCTTTGTTCACGAACAATTCGTAATGATATAACCCAGTATAGCGATGCCGAAATAAATATGGCTATCAGCTGAATAGTAAACAAAGAGAAAGTTCCACTAAACCAATATTGTAATAAGGCCGTCGTAATGAAGTAGGAAAGGAACAGAAGACTAAAATTGAAGTTCAGTGAATAGAAATCACTGAAACTGGGTCACATATACATTTTAAAAATTAGGGATTGGAAAGAACAGAAAAAATATTTAAAGGAATTTTTCCGATATCACGAGCTGGAAGGCTACTCAATTTTCTGAATTTCCGCGAAGTAATCTCTGAGAAATTCTGTTGAAGAGCATTTCGATAAATAGTCACTTCTAGTATTCACCTGATAACAGCTTGTAGTGAGCAGTAAACAATGAATGGGAGCATAAAATAAGGTTTTTTACGCATTCCACTCAGAAGCATAATTACGGTAGTGGTGCTGATAAAAGTCGATACTACCAATGAGTCTGAAAAAAAGCAAATACAAAAGGATAATTAGCAAGGGAAAAAAGTTAATTAGAAACTAAAGAAATCAAGAACGAGAATGAGTGAGGGTTTATTAACACCCTTGTTGGTAAACACTTTTAGATCCCTAGTCATTAAATTGAGAGTTTTATTTCCAAATTTTTTCACAGTTGACCAAATCCCACCCGGATACCTTTAGCTCTTCCTTTTTTTTTTTTAAATAAAATACTTGGTAAGGTTGCCACAATCTATAAATTTCATAGAATAGTCTTTTCAAACAACTAACCATAATAAGCAACATTCCAGAGCTTTTAATAATGACTGTAGTTCCAAATAGCCAAAGCCAACGCAGCAGAATTGATATTGGCTAACTGGGATACACCAGCAGCAATGTTTGTTAGCAACCGTAACTTCCTTCCATTCCTTTTTCTATGTTTACAAATCGAAAATTCTCGTCATGCATTCATTTCATATTTCATGGACGAACAAGTTTTACGAATACAAAAATTTTGATCGATGTTGATTTATGTTGATTTCATGTGCTTCAACTTTTATAGATTCATAATCTGTTTCATCTGCTTTTTTCCCATCTCAGATTTGTATAACTAACAGTAAAATAAATCATGATAAAGCGAAATATAAAAAGCGATGGAAAAAATGTGGAAAAGTTAAGAAATATGGGAGAATGAATGGGAATAGAAAGGAAAAAAATAAATTTCCTAAAATACCTTCAAAAAGGAAGAAACGAGCAGAGGTCGCGATTGTTGTATCACATCCTTCTAATTAAAGTATGTACTCTTCAGCTTATATCGCATATATCACAAATCTTCAAATATTAATTAAAACTTGTCTCAAGGTTAACACTTCCAATTGATAATGGATATTTATTCTTTTGCAAGCATCTTGAAACAATTCATGTAATAATAGTAATACTAATAGTAGTAGTAGTAGTAGCAGTAGTAATAATAATAATTAATGATAATAACAATAATAACAGTAACAATAATAATAATAATAATAATAATAATAATAATAATAATAATAATAATAAATTTAATAATAATAATAATAATAATAATAATAATAATAATAATAATAATAATAATAATAATAATAATAATAATAATAATAATAATA